CCAGCTCCACCTCCAATTGCTCCTCCCCTAGCACAACCCTCTCCTCCCGTCACTAGAGCCGCCCAGGTGTGCGAAGCTGTACCCGTTCACCCAGTTCCTCCTCAAGCTGAAGTACAGGGACTTCCTCCACCACCCCCACCTCCTCCCTTGCCTCCTCCTGGCATTCGACCCTCCTCTCCTGTCACAGTTGCAGCCCTTTCTCACCCTCCCCCTGTTCTGCACCCTCCTCCCACAACCATTGTCCCTGGCCCTCATGCCCCCCTAATGCCTCCATCTCCACCGTCCCAAGTGATTCCTGCTCCCGAACCCAAACGCCATCCTTCGACTCTCCCTGTAATCAGTGATGCTAGAAGCGTTCTGCTGGAAGCAATACGGAAAGGTAATGTATGGCCATTAAGGGGCAAAAAGAACGGTCTCAGAAACTTGCTTAAATATGCATTAGCTTTGAGAGATGGAATAATTCACATGTGTAAGAAGTTAGTTTAGAGGCATGCATCTTAAGTCTGTTTTTGCTTTCTATTCTCTACAGTGAATGTCTTGCCAAGTAGACAGATTTATTGCAATTTGCAATTGCGCTTATCAGATGTTTAGTTTGGATGGCAAAACTGGTTCTCTGTGGAAGTTAGATTTAAAAAAAACAGTACACGTGTTCATAGATGATCTGTGGAGATTATCTCTTCATTTCTGTTTACGTGAAAATGTAGCTATTTCTGATAACCTCAGATTGTGTAGAAGACACAAATGTTGTCTTTCACCAAGTGTTAGATAAAAGCAGAACAGATCAATTGGCATTGGAATTTTTGGTCATATATCAGTGTATTACAACAACATGTATATGACATTCAGAAATTGTTGCTTAAGACTTAAAGCTGTTAAGTATCTACTCTTGACAAGTCTCAGCGCAGTAGTGGAGCAGCCTTTCCGTTGCAAGGTGCCCCGCTGGCAGAGCGCAAGTGAATGGCAGAGGCATGGGGCAATGCTTTCCTCATGATCTGTCAAGGAGCTGTATGTACAAGCTGCACGTTTCAGCTTACGTGCCTACGGCCAGAAAAATCCCCACTGCACTGTGAGTGCTGCTGTTTGACTCTGTGGTATCTTTGAGTAGTTGGATGTTTCAAGTACTACATTCTTTTATGTTTTTCCCCTGCAACTACAATACAGTACAGAATCTGTATGGTACTGTAATATCAGTAGATAGGCTATAATACTAACTCAAAATATTTTTAAAGCATCTATATGCTCATGAATTGAGAACGTCACTGACTCTGAAGAAGTATCAACAGCAGATGAGTACAACAGCGATGCATGAACATTAGTAGAGAATGTCAGCAAAGAGCTTAATAAAGGAGAGGCTGCTGGTATAATTTAGGTGATTCCTGAAAATGCTTTTGACCAAGTCTTGCACAAGGAGCAAAGGCTCAAGTTACCACAGCTTAAACTCCACTAAGGACCTGTGCTTGTGTTACCTCTCAGTTGACAACAGAGAGTATTACATACAGGATGTAGGTCGTATTTGGACTGTGTCAGTCTGTGATGTGGTGAGTATAAAACCAAAATGTATAATCTGTGTCATGTTTTTAACTCAATTACTGGATTTAATTTTCTCATACTATCGGTGTGTGTTATTTCTCCTTTGTATTTGATCTTTAAGTATTACATTATCCCAAAACAGATCACTGCATGATCAAAACTGAGTTACAAGAAATCTTGTTAGGATACTCAAATCGCTGTAACTTTTAATTGAGACCGTGAAGAGAGAATATAAAAATTGTTTGGAAATGCAAATAGTAAAATGGCTTAACCACTTGCAGGGGTACTAAAAATGCAGGTGTCTTTTTAATGGGAAATGGGAAGCAGGATATTTATAATAGAAGGACTGATGATCTGGTTTGCCATTGCAATTCTGACATTCCTCTCTTTAAAAACTTGACAGAGAACTTCTGTCTGAGGAGGACTATCTCCTCAGCCTTTGGTTTTGCTTGCAAAGCGTTTTTTGAATCATGAGCTAAATACTTTGTATTGTGATGAAGGAGGAGAATAACACATCTGTGATTTGGTGTCCTTAGGTATTCAGCTACGCAAAGTTGAAGAGCAGCGTGAACAAGAAGCTAAGCATGAGCGTATTGAGAATGATGTTGCTACTATACTTTCTCGTCGCATTGCTGTGGAATACAGTGATTCAGAGGATGATTCAGAATTTGATGAAGTGGATTGGTTAGAGTAAAATTACTACATTGCTGTACACTGCAAAATTGAATGCTAATGTCCATTGTGGTGCTTGTTCTTTGAAAGTTTGATGGTCATTTCTAGTGTTTTTTGTATTCTTTTCTTGACATAATTAATCCATGTTTTTCTACTTTTCAGTTTACAAAAAGCTCCTAGTGCATCTTTGAAACTAAATGTTTTACAGTGGCTTTTCTTACACATCTTTTTTGAAAGAACATCCTTTCTTCCAATAGACCACTAAGTATTAAGCATGGGCAGCTGTTGGTAGAGTAGCAGTTTCAATTTTTTGGCATATCTTAACTGTGCACTTTGTGAATTTTAAGTTAATGAAGGCAACTGAGATTGACATTCCAAGGGCAGCTGTATGTACTAATGAGCCTTATTCCACTTCTGATAGTGTTTTAAAACATTGAACCTAGCTCTCAAGATATCACTGCCTTGATTACATCTGTACGCTAAAAGTACATAGAGTTAGCAGCACTGAACACACTGAAAGGAAAATGGATCTTTTGGGGGGTTTATTATTGTTTTATTGTTGTTTTTAAATAATTATGGCCTTATTTGAATGTTTAGAGATTCCCCTTCCCTTCTTCCCTGCCAGGTACATATTGTGTGGTACTATTTTTGCCTGCGTAATAAAAGTTTAAATTTTTTTCCTTGTGAAATCTTTTGACTTAAACATGCTGTGTAACTTATGTAACTGTTAAAATAACAGTTTGATTTAATAAATGGTTCATTTTAAATGTTCCTGGTTGTTGCTTTTTCAGTGAAGCTTGCTTTTCACTGGTGTACGTGAGGGATCCTTGGATTTCAAAGATTTAATCTGTGGTCTACAAAGTTACAATAAATATTCTGCACTTGATCTAAGGACCCATATTAAACAAGAAAACATGATTCATCAAATGAGATCTATATGCATATGTACAAAAAAAGCTGAAATCTTACTCTGATCCATTATTTAAAAAAAAAAAAAATGCAAAATTGCGAGTTTGTGGCTTACATGATCTAGGGTTGGGGTTTTAAAAAAAAAATTCTTTACCATCAATGTATCTTGAGAAGGGGAGATGCCGCAGTCAAAATCCTAGTTAATGAAAGATGACAAAGAACAGGGGTGATATTGCAAAGTCGTTTTTTAAGTGCTATCTGGCAGTGTACTGCATGTTGCGCAGAGCTCTTGTGTTTCCCTTCTCTGGAATAGCTCCTTCAAGTCTCAGCACGTAGTCAAAAGCCTGTTAAGAAGGGAAGCGTGAGAGTTGCAAGAGCACTCTACCTTGTGAACTCGTTCCTGGAAGATGGAATTGTATAATAGAGGAAAACAAGTGTTGAAAAGTCAGAATGAGATTTCTGAAGGTGGAATGTGAAATGTTCTACAGGCTACAGAACAATTTAGAGAGGGATGTGGTAATTAACCTACACTTGGGACTGGGCAAAACTCCAGAGGTACACACTGGAGTCAGCAGCTCTTCCAACTTTACTGTCACCATCTCAGCTGCAACTATAATTTTGTACATAGCCTACTACACTCAAAACTTTTCCCACTGCAACAGTAATGCCTTTTGTTGTGTTTGCAGGAGAGAAACATCCTTGTCGCAATTTGTGAATCTGCATCTTTATAACTAGGGATGCAGTTCTCCTCTATATGCTGTTCTCTTCGATAGTTGTCTTCCCAGTAACGCCATCTGGTTTATTCTGCCATTCTCGGTTAACTTTCAACACGCGTGTCCTTGATAGCTCCTCTTAAAGAAAAGATGTCAGAAGCACCACTGCATGAATATTTGGTAATGTTTAATCTAGGTGTTTCCTTGGATCTCAGTAATCCTAAATTGCCAAATCTGGCCTGGTAACTAAATGTGAGAGATCATTTACACATCTGAAAAGGATTGGTAGCTTCCAGCTGAGGTGCAGTACGCACACCTGCAGCTACCCTTTAAGCAGGGAGCCAGGTCTACCCTTTAGACAGCTGGAAGAAGAGCTTGTGCTTAAACTCCATGTGTGGGTAGTTCTGCCCTTCACAAAATTACTTTTCAGCTGATGTTTATACCTGTTCCTTGCTGAAGTCTCTGAACTCCTGGTGGATATTATAGCCGGCAGCCGACATTGTCACTTAAATGGAGCAGAGCGTATCTGTGCCCAGGCTGTGGCTGTTCAAAGTAGAGGATCTCCTCATCAGCACACCTGCACTGACTGTAAGTATGCTCTGAGTGCATCCAGGCACTGTCAGCTGGGTATAACTTGCCTAAAGCAAGAAGATGGCTTACAAACAAAACAAAAAAAAACAAAAAAAAAAAAAGAAAGAAAGAAGGCCCTTACCTGACTGCAGCTATCACATATTGGACTTGAATGTATAAAAAAAATGCTTATTGACAAATGGTTGTTATTAACCTGCTCCGCTGTCCTGGTGATTAATAATATCCCTTCCAAACCGGTACCCAGGGCAGACGAAGCACACGTTTAATATGACACAGTCACACGAAGTAATGAACCTTGTCTGAGAAAAGTCAAGAGTTAAATTCAGTTAACATTTCAAAGGCAGGATTCTTGGCCTTCTGCCATCGCTACAGCTTTCTGCCATAGCAACTAGTCTCCAGATAGCAATAGTGGGATTCACTAGTAGTGAGAGGTGATTGTTGAATTTAAATATTTGCATTTATAGATCTACTCCAAGCATTTGCATTTGCAGTCTCGATGATTTGTGTCCCTCTTACTGCGGTCTCCCACTGCCCTTCTCATTTGGTGGAACGCTGTGCTGAGGGCTGCTGGGCTATTCATGCCCGTGATTAGATGTGTAATAGATTATTGATTGCCTTGTCTTGTAAGGTGCTGAATCAAGTCTTCTGTATTGAACTGTTTATAGATTCTGTTGTTTACTTCTGTACATTTACAGCAGCTGGTTAAAATCAAAGACTCAAAGTCTGCCACAGAAATAACGTGTCAGTAACGTTCAATATAAGTGAAGAGAAACCTTTGTTCAGCTTCATGCCTTTCTTGAACTGTACTCTGGGACAGTTAAAAATGATCTACTTCTACTGCAAAATGGGGAAAAAAATAAAAGGCACGGAACAAAGAAACAAAAGGTGGTGGCAGAACAGGAGCAGAAGACTAGGGAGGTGCAAAATTGGTCACTCGGGGCTTTTCTGAAAAGAGTAAGTGGTAACAATGACATAGCCATCATAGACTAAAAGTAAATAGCTACTTGGAAGAGAGCAAGTGCTGAAGAAACAAAAATAATGAGGCATAATTCTGCTTCTTATTGTGTTACTGTGTGAACAGCAACCATTAAATACTGCATAGCATTAAGGGATCATGTAATCCCTCATTAAATTGGGATTAAACAAGCAGGAGGCATTTTAAACAGACCTTTAGTTGATAAAATCATCCTTTCCCGCGTGTGGCACAGGGGTGCACTCCTCAGCATTCAGGTGGATGCTGACATACCACCGCCCGACTGATGAGCGCACAGACTAATGCAGAGTCGGCTGCAAAAGGTGCCGGGGGACCCGAGTGTGCAAACAGGTACCGACGGCCCCGGTTTCGCTGCCATGGGCATTCTCCACGATGCTGGGACCATCTCGGCTTGGATGCAGCTGCCACCCCTGAAGCGCGTCCCCCCTTGCTTTACCTGGTGGCCGTGAGCCCTGGGCCTGCTCCGAGGATGCAGGCAGAAAGGCGGGCGCTGGAGTGGGCTGCCACATCTCAGTCTCCCCAGCCCGTGGATCACCACGGGGAGCAGGGGGTCAACACCAGCTTTGGAGCGTGGTGCAGAGCCCTCTGCCCGACAGCCAGGTGCAGCTCTCTGCAAAGTTACTAGCTCGAGGCAGTGTACCCGTAGCAGTCAAAGCCCCAAAACCTGGCATTTGGACAAGCTAGAGCAGTTCCAAGAGGAGACCCCGAGGCAAAGCCTTGCTGCCTTGCTGATGCAGACCTCGGCATCAGCAAAAGATCTGACGGAAATTCAACTCGAGCTCCATCAAGTGTCTGCTCTGCCTCCTCAGCTACAGGGTAGAGGGGGAGAGTTCTACTCTCTCTCATTCTCCTTTGCAGGTGGGAATGTTAAACACCAGGAGAGGACTCACAACCAGAGACCAGGGGCAGCAATAGCGGTCTCCCTTTTTGGAGCCACTCAGCCATTTTTTTCCCTCTCCTATCCACTCCTGACTGCTTTTCACACTTGAACAATTCTCGGGGGCGGCAGCCTGCCTGTGAGCGATGTTTCACACACCCTTTGTGGCTGCAGCTGGGATGGACCTTACTGATTCCCTGCTGCTCCTCGAGTACTTCACCAGCCCTCGGTAGACCTTAGTGCCCCCCCATCTGCCCCTTGGGCTGCTTGGGACAGCGCTCCAACCGTAACGAGCTGGGGTAGGTTTCAGTGCTTAAAAAGCAGGTTCCTGGCAGCCCAGCTCGTTTTGACAGCCCGCATCCAGGGAGCTCTCCTGCGAGCAACTTGGCTGTCGGCTCTGAGAGCTCAATGAAGGTCTGGCAGCACAGCACCAGGCAGCTGCGGAGGGGCAGGTGGGGGACAGGAACCCTATCCCTATCCCAGCTGCTGCTGGAAGAGGACACATGGGCAAGCCCTGGGACATTCGCACTGGGGTATGGAGCAGACCCCGCGAGGCTGGAGCTGCGCACCCCATCCTGTTCCTGCTGGAGCGACAAAGCCAATACTGCGCAGCCCGTGCTTTTTTCTTTGGTCCCTGCCACGCCACGAGCAGACATCGTTTCCCTGCCGCTGACCCTTTTGCCTCGGGAATGGGCTCTGCCCCATTAGTCATCGCTTGCGTCCCCCGACTGCCAGCAGCCCCTGACAGCAGCATCAGCAACAGCCTCTAAAGAAAATTGCATCTGTCCATTTCTTCAAAACTCTTATTTTTAGAGTATTTGCAAGCTCTGGGCACTTCCTCCAACTGTCTTCCTTTTGGCAGTTGGAAATGTCTGGGCACAGATCGGAGCAGGTATCAAGCACCTCTCACCAAACGGGGCTGAATACTCCCCTCCTTATGCTTCTTTCTCTGATGGTTCAATAGCTTCACTGTCAGACACAGGATAGCCGAAATGTTGACAACACACGTGTTGTTTCCATTTTCCACCCATCCCATTTTAATGCCTTTAATGGCAGAGTGTTATTAGAAAACCCATGTCATTTTAACACAGCTTCACGGCAGCATCACTCTAAGAAAAGCTTCAAAAATTACCTCCCTTCAGTGTGATTTTATACTGTGTTTTAGCACTTCCACTCCTCTGCAAGGCATTTTCTTCACCACAATTTTAAAATCCCAGAACAGGACTTCTTGGGGCCCCCCTGCATCACTCCCGTGGAGCAAGCATCCAAGCTCAGTGGTGTATTATCGCAGCTTGATTTTGCACTTCAGTACCAGCCAGAAATAACTCCAGCAAACTGCCCGAGATTTCTAACCTCAGGAGAAAGCAGCGCACAGCCCTGGTGTCGGCATGAGACCCAGAATCTGTAATTCTGTGATTCTGTGTTAGCTTTAGCACTGCCCTTTCCTGCCAAGCAAACGGCGTAGGCTGAGTTTTCTCGATTGCATTTTGGCAAACGCCAAAACCAGTTTGCAAGCATCGCCAGCAGGACATGCGGCCGACACGTGGAGGGATGCGGGGGGCCGTCAAGGAGCCCAGTCTGGGGGCTGCCCTCGTGCAGAGGGCTGTGTCTTCTGGGTTTTAAAAGTGCAAAGACCTTACCAATGCTCCCAAGTGGGACAGGTGTTGCCCACGGGCCAGCATCGTTT